TCATCACCATCTTCGAAGCTGCTAGATAGCTCACATGAAGATGCATTGGAGGCTTTTGCTTCTTGTTCCTTCTTTCTTGCTTCTTTTTTTCTAGCTTCTCTCTTGAGTCTTCTTTCTTCTTTTCATGCTTTCTTCTCTTCTAACCGCTGCTACTCCATTCTCTTCTTCTCTCTTGCTTCTCTTTTCTAGCTGCCCTTCTTCTTCTTCTTCTTCTTTCTTCTTTATTTTGAGCTTTTCAGCATCGGTTGCCTCTAGCTATGGGAGCATGAAGTTGCTCGCTGTAGAGGCGCTAAGCTCATTTCTATCGGTGTCATGCAGCCCAATATCCTTCGGATCGACGCTGATGGGCTTCATAACACCGGATCCTCCTCCAGGCTCCATGCCTCACGCGGTGAAGCGCACACGAAGTAACCTGGCTCTGATACCACTTGTAGGATCTCTAATACGCCTAGAGGGGGTGAATAGGCCTGTAAAAATTTAACTCAAACCGAAGTCAAATTCACCCGCAGCACTACCGCTCTGTGAGCTCGGCACTGCTGCACAGCGGCACTGCCACACCTACAGGAGAGATTAGTTCACAGTTCAAAATCTACCCAACGAAATTTAGATCGGGTAAATTTCTTAGCTTCGTGCAGGGTAGTAGATCACAGATCGACAACTGAAAGTGGTGGAAACACCACACACAAAGTAGATGACACGAGGATGACACAAAGTATTTGGGATGACAACTGAAAGTGGTGGAAACACCACACACAAAGTAGATGACACAAAGTAGATCAGCCTCAAAACTCTAGAAATCACCTCAACAACAACAAGATGACACGAGGATTTATCATGTGGTTCAGCTCGCCACCAAGGCTTGCCTAAGTCTACGTTGTTGAGGTATACCACTAAGGCTTTAGGGTTTTGTAACCCTACCTCATTCTCAAGTCAAGAGAGTAAACTCTTGAGATGAGGGGTGATTTTACTCGCTGCAAGAGGTGGTTACAAACCTCCTAGGGCTGGCACACAAGTTGGCTAGCTTCACGGGCGACGCTCTAGCCGGCTAGGAGCCAAGCTCTAAGAGTAACAAACACAACCGCCGGCTAAAACGTAAACCAAATGCTCTTTAGAGTTTGGGAATCAATGGAGCTGCTCTCAAATCAAGTTTTGCCCTTTCCCCTCAAGGATTAATAGGGAAATCAATTGATTTGCTTAAGGGCTTGAGGTCAACAATAGAGTGAGAGGGATAGAGCTCTTGCTCTGTTTTTGGGCGTGCTTAAGTGAGGAAGAAGAGAGCTGATTTTCGTTGGGGAGGAAGGAGAAAGATATATATACCCCCAGCCCCCAACGGTTACTTAAATCGCAGATAACCGTTGGGGAGAAAAGGGAAAGGTATATACACCCCTAGCCTACAATGAACACCGCACCCAAGGGATCGGGCGAGACGAAACCCGTGGCCTCGAGGTCGGGCGAGACGGAGCCCGCACCCAAGGGTTAGGTGAGCCGGAGCCACGACCAAGGGGTCGGGTGAGCCGGATCTTGCGGCCAAGGGGTCGGTTGAGCCGGAGCCCACGACCAAGGGGTCGAGAGAGCCGGATCCCACGACCTTGGGGTCGAGCGAGCCGGAGCCCGCGATCAAGGGGTCGGGAGAGCCTCTCTTCAAGTGCGATAGTGCCGCACCACGCAAGACAGCAATGATAGTAGTGATGTGGACTGTCTTGGTTGTGAATCTTAGGATACATGTAGTTGTTTGAGCACTTGGTAGCACATATTAGCTTTAAACATTGTGCCCCTTTATAGTACGGCTTTTTCTATACTCAAATTTAATATATAAAAGAATTTAAACCTTATTTGAGTTTGAAGCGATCTACATTTATAATTGGGGGCTCCTCCGTTTCGTGTAGCATCATCGAATATAGATTCTCTGGTTGTTATCTCGATAAATTTATTAGTTCTCTAATTGCGTGGTCATTATCACCAAAACCCATAATTAAGGCTTGATTGCACTTTCACTCCCTCTGTTCCATTTTATCTGGCACAAATTAGAATGACACGGTCTACTATATTACACTTTGATCATTCATTTACTTTATATTATATTATTTATGCTTATAAACTTATAATTATTGGGTAGTACAATTTTTTTACAAATCTAATCATATAAAGTTTGTATTATAAAAATTAAAAATTATTAGTCTAATTATTGGTTAAAGATTTTAAAGTTTGAATCTTGATATACGTGGCGCCAGATAAAATGAAACGGAGGTAGAATGCTCCAGCAAAACCATAATATACAGGAGGATACATTCAATTCCATCGGTGAGGTGGGTACATGATGCGTTGCATATAAATGTGAAATAGCTTCTATTTGCCTCTATTTCAGTTACTACTACGTACTAGTACTAGCTCCCCCAGCTGTCTCCATGCATGATCGGCGACGGATCAACCGGCCGGCCGGAGGGTCGTGCTGATGATCCCATAACTGGCACTTAATGCCGGCGGTGAGGCCGTTCTCGCCGCTACCGCCGGCGGTCCTCCACTTACTAGCTACTGCCCCACTGATCTGATAACAAATTGCATGGTGTCGTCGGTGGTCTCCCCGTTTGACGTACGACGTCCATGCGTGCATGGCCCTTGTTGGTTGACCTGCGCCATCAGCTGACTTGTGGGGTTGACTCTTCCTCCCCAGCCGGCGTGCGTGGACCTCCACGTATTGCTCCTGGCCGTGGAAAGATGCCATCCATCAGCTGCACGCAGTGGAAGCCGGCATCCAGAGGACGGTGCTGGTGCTGAGTCCTGAGTATATATAAAATGCTTTTACTTTTCGCTAGTTTGAAAACGGTGAATGCGACCGTGTGGTGTGGTGGTCAGCGTCTCTAGATCCTTACTTTTTTGAACAAGGGAAAAAGGAGTCTACTCTAGTCTCTAGATCGAAGACTGGGCTGGGCACATTTTCCCCCAAAACCGAGGATCGGACAAAACTCTCGGTCTCTTTGGTGTTTGGTGTCAGTATCGGTTGCTGATTCGCATCGGTGGTCTTCGGTCTTCGCAGCTGCCCACTGGCCAATATCGTTACCTTGGCCCATCAAGGCTGGACCGACAGACCCCGCCCGAGTCGTCCGCTCTCAAACAGATCCTGTCCACACTGGCGCACCGCCTCTGTCCACGTATGGTTCGTAGCCACTAGTTCACAAATTCCTAACCGCAGCTCGATGTCTCCGTTCTTCGAAAAAAATCACCGTTGCCACTGTCATGGTGTCCTCCTCTCCTCTCCTCTCCTCTCCTTCCCTCCCCCCATGGATCCAGCGGCACCCCTCCTCCACGTGCGTCTTCCCTCAAGCCGGTGGCCTCTATGGCGTCCCCTCCCCCCACTCCATGCTGCCCGGGACCCTCCCCTGCGTCCCACCGATCTGGCCGGCGGGTTCGAGCACGCCGCTGACCCTACCCTACCCTAGCCGGCGACGCCCTCTCCAGATCTGGCAGCGTCTCCTCTCCCTGGGCCAACGGCGGGCATGGCGGGGGCATGTGGGTGTGCACCATCCAGCGTCGCGCTGATCCACCTCACGCGTCGCGGAAGGGGAAGCAGGGGAGGCCTGCGCCCCCATCCACCCCGTGTCATCAGCAGGAAGGGGAGGCCTGCGCCACCGCAGTTCCCCACCATGTAAGTTATGGCCGCACGGAGATGCTGTGTTTCAAGTGTTTCCAGACGTTTTTTATATATGTTGCAAGAGTATGTTTCAAGTGTTTCAGATGTTTCAGCTGGATGTTGCAACACTAGATCGGGATGTTGCATATATTGCAATAGTTGTACACGTATGTTGCAAGTGTCTATTCCCAATGTTTCATGTGTTCTTTTTGTACACGTATCTTGCAAGTGTTTCAAACGCATGTCTCAAGTGTTTCATCTGTCTTGTTTTGCATGTTGCAAGTGTTGCATCTGGATGTTTGAAAAGTAGATCGAGATGTTGCACAACTGGGCAATGATGTTTCAACTGTATGTCCCAAATATTTTATCTGTTTTAGACGTATATTGCAAATGTTTTCTCATGATATTATAAAAGTAGATCTGGTGTTCGAACGTTGTAAACCTGCTTTTCAGCTGTTGGGTCCGCATGTATGCGTGTAGGAGCAAAGGGCACGAGCGGCAGGCACGACAAATGAGAGCGGGCATAGATCAAGACATACACGGGAAACTGAGCCATACGGACCCCACGTAAAGCACGCAGTCGTGCGGGCGGGCGTCAGAGCGTGACTTCCGCGCTAGCAGTTCCAATTAGCAAAACCCCAACACCCAGCATGGTTGGACCAAGCGGGGGACGAACATGGGTTCTCCCGTGCGGAAAAGAGCCCATCGACTGAATCCACAGTGGGCCGTTTGTCCAATACTCCTTACAGATTACAAAGAGCACCGGCCTGGACTCTGGACATAACACGCTCTTTCTCTGTCTGAGCAAAGCTGGCTCTCGCAGATCTCTGTCTCGCTGTCTCTCTGTGGTGTGGTGTTTTAGTAAGAGAAAATACAGAAATTCGTTTCACTACATGTCTCAGAGCCGAATAGGCAAATACTCCTACAGATGCTTGCATGCATTTAATGATCAGAAATGCTATATAGCACATATATGTTTTAGTAAAAAAAAACGTATGAAATTTTTTTTATCTCTCTTCCTCTCTCTCTCACCGGTGACCACCGACGCCGGCGCTGGCGACCGGCGAGCTCGCCCTGGCACCCGCCCCAGCGCCCGGCGCGCCTCCCCGCGCCCGCGCCGGCCATGGCAGTGGCGGTGGCGGATCTGTGATTTGTCCATAGAAAAAAATTATGATATGTGATCTGGGGAGGCTGAAGGGTGGAGGTAGAAGAAGGGTGGAGACTGTTGGATCTTAATCTTATAGCGCAAAAAAATTCATATGTTGAAACTATGTAAAACACATAGTTGTGCAGTAGCTCGAAATTTTACATTTACAGTACATCCATTGATCCATCGGCCATGTCCCATTCGGTTGACCCGACCGATGCGCGGCTAAACCGTCGTTGACGTCGTCACCGCGCCGGCCGCCGGCGGCGGGAGGGCTTCCAGCCACGGGAGCAGCCTGTCGTGGACGAGGTCCGGCCGGTCGTCGTGTGGGCAGTGGCCCACGCCCTCCAGCATGTAGAGCGTCACGTTGGGGAACTCCGACGGCAGCTTCGAGAAGAACTTCCCCACGGGCCCGTCGATCGGGGTGAAGGGGTCCCGGTGGCCCCACAGCACCAGCACGGGCAGGTCGGCCAGCCGCGGCATCAGCGCTATCGGGCTCGGCCCCGGCGGGCCCGTCACCGTCGACACGAACGCGTCCAGGGCGCCCTCCGTGTCAGCCGGTCCGCTTATGATCTGCGTGTGCGTACATATTTTTTTTAGAAAAGAAAAGGAAGATTCAGAAATAAACGGTTCAGTGGTCACTCCATGCATTGACCTCTGGATTTTTTTTTTACAAAGACATGTGAGCCTTATTAAAAAAAAACTCGACCCTCAAATGGCTAGACAGCTCCGAAGCTTTGCGCTTTAAGAAGGAGCCTTATGGGATACCAGCAGGGGTGAATGGAGCGGCGTCAATTTCTTGCCACAGGTTCAGTGGGGAATTCTTGCACAAACAGACCTAGCAGCCTAGCCTAGCTGGCTGTCGAGGAAACAGACCAAACATTTTGAGATAGGTGCCTTACCTCAACTAATTCGTCGTCCACAGCATCTTTGTTCCCGTAAACAGAGAGCAAGATATCCTTCAGATTGTCCCTGTTCAACACAAATTGTCACAGAACAGCATCAACAGGCGAGATAAGACTATCAGAGAGAAGTCTGCAGACCGGCATGCCTGTTTTTGACGCGGTTAAAGAGTGCTGATGCTATCGGCCGTTGTTTCAGCAGGAAGTCAATCAGCCAGAGCAGAGGCAGCAGCAGCTTGATCCTCCAGTCGTCGACGATCGCCTTGTTGTTCATGCCGCCGGCGCAGTTCAGCAGAACAAGCCCCCGAACGACTTCTCTGCTGGACTCTGCCCATCATTAGCAGGAGCAAACTGAATATCACAACTACCGAGCTAGTAGTTTGCAGAAAGAGAATTTACAGGCGTTGGCTGATTGGAACCTGAGGCAGCAATGACGCATGCAAGGCTTCCAACAGAGTTGCCGACGAGCACCGTGGGCCTCCTGACCACCTCCTCCAAGAAATCCAGTATCAGCTGCTTGAGACAACGCATACGCCATTGTATTTTCAAAATCATCAGTCTAGATTTTCTTGAGCAAATGTTATGAGAGCAACTCAGTTCAAATGTCAGATCTCAGATATATCAGATTGAAAGCACACTTGCCTCAGCCCATGTCTCCATCGTGTAAGAAAATCCAGCAGGCTTGTCCGAGGCACCGAACCCCAGTAAATCGATCGCGTAGACGGTGTAGGATTCAGACAACACCCCAATGTTCCTACCGACGAGTTGATCAATTAGTGATCTCTGCCCAAGGTCGAGCACATGGCGCGCGTGCACCACCGATCGCGCGATGAGCTCAGATTTCGTCAGGAAAATTAAGACCAAGGGGCGGGCGGGGACAAGGCCGGCTCACCTGCGCCAGTGCGCGACGGAGGCGCCGAAGCCGTGGACGAGCAGGACGGGCGGGCCCTGCCCTCTGGCGAGATAGTTCACGCGCATCCCTCGCCACGTCCAGGTGGAGCAGCCCCGGCGCAGCTCCTCCAGCGATAACGATGACGCCGTTGTCGCGGCGGGTGGGCCGGCGCGCGTGAGGACGCGGGTCGCGGCTCGAGAGCTGAAACTGCCATGGGAAGAGGGCCGCGCGGAGAAAGGGAGCGACGAGAAACGGTGGCGTCGGCCAAGTGTTGGAGTTGGAGCAGCGACGGAGGAGGAGTGGCGGTGGTGGTGGGCGGCAAGTGCTGCCATATCCACCCCGCTCGGCTCAGTGGTCGTCGCGGGTGTGCCTTTTTCTTTCTTTTTTCTTTTTTTTACGGTCTGTTTTCCTTTGCACGACCGGCGGTCCGGTGGCGACTGTGTTGAGCTTCTGTTTTTTTGTACGGTTTAGATTTTTCTTTTCTTTATTTTCTTTCTTTCGAGAGTACCAGGGGAAAAACGTCTTCCCCTTCCGCCTTGTTAATTGTAGTTTCTTGACCTCCATTTTTTTGTTACATGGCTATGTGAGGTTAATTAGCTTTCAAAGGGTGCTTGCTTCTCGAAACACATCGAATTCATTGTAATGCTGATCTCAAACTTATTCCACTGAGTATTTGCTAGTGCCACGTCATTAGTGTTTTGAGAAAACAAAAGATCTATTCACTCCATCTTAAAAAAGTGTCATTACGAGGTTCATGCTAGTCAAATTTTAAAATTTTGACTAGATTTATAGAAACTATTATTAATATTTATATCTTTAAATAAATTTATTATGAAAATATATTCAATAACTCATCTAATGATATTAATTATACACTAAAAATATTAATAGATTTTTTATTTATATTTGGTTAAAATTGTAAATGTTTAATTTTTTGAGAAGTGAAAATGTCATTCTTTGTGGAGATTAGAGAGTAGAGTAATATGTATAGACCAGTCATCAGGTCTTAAATTCATGGAGATCTTAGCCAGGAGAAGCTTTTTCTTTTACAAACTATTTTTTTATGGATGTGGCAATTGCTATTGGTGTCACGTAGAACTATGAGCCTGTTTGGGACTGCTCTGCTCCACCTTTTGTAGCTCTGCTCCCAAACTTTCCTGCCAAACAGGTCTAACACCATAAACTCTGCTCCCAATAAAATGGAGTTTTGGTCCAACTCTATGTTTTTCGCAGAGCTCCTCAGAGGGTACTCCACAAACCAGCGTTTCATATGTCCTCGTGGAGTTGGAGGTAATTACCCGCAATTGCCACTCGTTACGCAAACTGTTTCGTTCTATTTCCTCCCGTCGCCCCTGAAAGGATCAAGATGCCCAAGAGAATGGGTGAATTGGACTAATTCTAAATTTCTTCGCAATAAACAAGTCCTATGATTAGCCCAATTAACCCCTTGTGCCTAGAGAAGTGTTTCTATTGATCTAACGCAAAAAAGTTTAGCAACCTAGTTCCAATCCTACTCTAGCATGGCAATTCCAAGAATGTAAATGACAAGAATTGAAATGCTCAAAGTAAATGCTCAAAGTAAATAGAGGAGAGGAAACGCAGCGATGTTTTGCCGAGATATCGGAGAGTCGCCACTCCCCACTAGTCATCGTTGGAGCACCCACAACCGCTCACAACTTGAGTTGAGTCATCCACAAGCTCTCCGGATGATCACCAAGCTCTCCAATCACCACCAAGCCGTCTAGGTGATGGCGATCACCAAGAGTAACAAGCACGAACTCTCACTTGACCACGACAAGCCTAGGGAGAAGGGTGGATGCACACTTTGCTACTCTTGATCTCACTAATGAGGGCTCTCTTTGGGATTCTCAAATCTCAATCACCTCACTAGGACCTTGCAATTCTTGGCACTCTCTAAGGTGTGTTTTAGTTGTTGAAATGAGCAAAAGTAGCTCCACACACGAGTGGAGCTTCTATTTATAAGACAACCTAAAAAATGAACCGTTATGTGCCTCTGCGGGGTGACCGGACGCTCCGGTCAGTTCAACCCGCACACCAGTGATTAAGTGCTGATCAGACGCTGGCAGGGTCCGATCATCACTGACCGGATGCGTCCGATCGCAAATATCCCTCACTGGAGCCTTACTGTACTCGACCGGATGTTGAACCCTCAGGGTTCGGTCAGTACTGACCAGGCACGTCCGGTCGCAGAATCCCTTCTCTGGAACCTTACTGGAGTCGACCGGACGCTGGTCCTCAGCGTCCAGTCACTTGACCACTCAGCGTCTGGTCGCGCCAGACGCAATCTCCTTGGTCAAATGAACTGACCGGACCCTACGGCCAGCGTCCGGTCGCACCGGAGCCAGCGTCCGATCAGTATTTGACCCTCCATTCACTTCCAACTCTCGATCATATGTGAATGAAGTTTGCTCCATTGGATCTAAGGGCTATTTTGGAGCTACCTAGTGCTAGACTTAGCAAGTGTGCACCACACCTAACTCACTAGACTCACCTAGGTCAAGCTACCCGTCCATACCCCCCTTAATAGTACGGCCAATGGAAAAACAAAGTCCTAAACTACTCCAAGTGTCTCTCCAACTCCAATTGACACTTAGAACTAGTCATCCTTAACCTTGTCGTCCAAAGAAAAACCAAAGTCCTAAACTACTCCAAGTGTCTCTCCAACTCCAATTGACACTTAGAACTAGTCATCCTTAATCTTGTCGTCCATCCTTTGAAAACCGAAACGATTTCCATCGTAAGGGCATGACATCCATAATTGCCCAATCGATCTCCATTACCATGACCTAACTTAATTGCCTCTGCAAAACACACATTAGTCATAGTAATATTGTATTGTCATTAATCACCGAAACCCAACTAGGGGCCTAAATGCTTTCAATCTCCCCCTTTTTGGTGATTGATGATAATACCACCTCGAGTATATGAAAGAGTGAGGTTTTTGACATGCTTGTTTCATATAAGCTTTTGTCAATAATAACAAAAGAGTTAGGCAAGCTTATATGACCCAAGCCAATTCGATGTACTCAAAAGATATGAAATAAGCATGAGTACAAGTAATAAAGCTCATTTGCATCGGAGTAGAACGCGGAAGCAAAAGCAAATGAGCATAACATAAGTGATATGACATATAAAGGAATTCAAAGTAGAGAGCACACATGTCATATATCACAATCACGTAGATATCACTATCACATAGATACAATAGTAAATATGAATGCATAATGTATCAATGCATAATGTATCACACACATAGAAACTCCAAATGTAATAGATAATAAGCTAATAGATAACTAAGCTCCCCCTAAATAAGCCGCTCCCCCTGACTCTACATACTCGAACCCTCTCCCCCTTTGGCGTCAAACACCAAAACCTAAGGGGCGGTCGGCGGGGCTGCAGCGGACGAGTCGGGCGCTGAAGTACGAGGAGCAAGCTGGAACTGGGCGCCATCATCATCTGACCCTGAGCTCTGTGCTGACTGACCCTCTGTGGCTGGGAGCATCGCTGAAGCGGTCTGGGTCTGAGCTAGGGCAGGTGCTGCCTGTGATGCTGCTGGTATGTCTGTCGTAGGATCTGAAGATGCAACAGAAGAAGGGAGCCTCTGAGTAGTCACGGCGACGGGAGTTGCTGTAGAAGGACCTGGGGTATGCATATGTGGCGGTGTAGGCATCCCTGTCAACTCGCTAAAAGATGCTCCAAGACTCCTGGAGACTGACGTGTCAGGCACAAATAGCGAGGATGACTGATCCGATGTGAAGCCCGTCTGAAATGGTGTGAACTGCGGGGCTACCACTGGCGAGGATAACCACTGGGACACCTATACTGTGGGAGAAGCAAAATGAGATGGAGGTTGTCCCTGATTCTGAAGCCCACTGGGCTGTACTGCTAGAGTCATCATAGTGGTAGCAGGCTGACCAATCTGGGGCGAAGGCTGTGGCTGTGGGGCCCCAATGGCTGTCACTACATGCTGCATGAATCCCAAAAGCTGCTGCTGCATGAGTAACTGCTGCTGCTGCTGGAGGACCTGCTGCTGTCGTTGGAACTCGTCCTGACGAGCCTAAAACTGTACAAAGTTGGCAGCGGTCTCCTGAGCCTGTCTAGCCTGATCCTGCTGCATCCGCTCAAGGATAGCAATTAAAGCGGGGTCCGTCTGTGGTGCAGGTGGAGTGGAGTTGGAACTGCTGGCACTACATCATGTCTGCGTGGAGGCATCCGAGGAATAGGCTGGTAGTCATCGTCTGAGCTATCACTAGGCTCGCTCACCTCCTGCTGTGCCTCAAGCTGCTCCTCCTTAGTAGCGGCTATGCCTCTGATAATCTCGTCCTGCTGAGCTACGGACTCTGGTACATCTGGACGACGGTGAAGCTGAGTGGGTGCCTGTGGTGTGCTATGCCTGATCCTCTGTGCCATGTTATAAGCTAGAAACTATGTGGTGGCACCTCTATACTCTGCAACCATCTCTGGTGTCCTAACTTGCACAGCCTTGATAATAAGGAATGTGATCCAATGTGCATAAGGAAGCTGCCTGCGACCCTTGAAGCCCTCAGTTATCGCGTCCTCCATCTCAGACAGAATAAGATCCCAAACATCAAACACTGTCTACTGCATCAGGGCGTTGAGAAGCCATAGCTGGATACGTGTCAGGCACTCCCTATATCCCAACCTGGGAAGCAGTGTCCTCCTCATAATAGCCTCTAGAACTTGAGCAATTGAAGTAAGATCACTGGGGTTCCTACAAGAGCCCTCGCCAAAAGGCTCCTTGAAGCAGTGTCACACAAGATCTGTAGGGGGCACCAAACCACCATGAGGACGCCTGGGAGGCTCTGTCTGTCCATAACATACCTCATGTAACTTGACAGGCTGCTCCTGTAGCCTCAGTATCTCCCTGGCCCTCTGACTCATCATCCTGTAGTCTCTGCCTCTGAATGCAAAGTGTATAAAGTTATGATGCGGGTCAATAAAGAGGGAAGCATAGAACTGACGAACTCACGAAGGAACATATAGTCCTATCCGTCTAATCAAATCTGTTAGCCAAGCAGATATGCAAGGTAGGGGCGAATATGCTCTCCAGCTGCTGCTGCTATAGCCTCAATGCTGCAGACTCTCTGAGACCTGAAGACTGCCCCACTATTCAGATATGCATTATAGAAATCTTCCTGGAGCGGTGTGTAGAATCCCTCAGATGCTCTCTCATCCCTCCTCGGAGGAAACCACACCTCAAACTCTACAAACCTTAGCTGTCGAACCTACATGGCCGTGGCGGCCCTCAAGTAAAGGTGGGTCACTGGAGGTGGACCCTGTGGTCTAGGCG